ACAAAATTCCGAGATAAGCCACAGTCGAGATTGTGTTTTCACAAGGATCGGATCTCTCAGTTCAAAAAGGGTGAGGGAAAGTCAAGAAAACGGAAAGCAGTCAGTGAAAAGAGTCGAACCACTAAAGTAATGACCAAGGGATGGAAATGGGTGGTGAAACTCTCAACAAGGCCACTGTGTGAAAAAGATCATCAGCAAAAGAAGCTCGAGCACAAGGGAATATCCCGGGATGTGATGTGCTTGGATAATCCAGAGTGACGTGAAAATTTGAGAGAGGTGAGCTTGCCGACTATAAACAAGCGCTTCTTGGGAGGCAACCCAAGTGTTTTAATTTTTGTTCTTCTATTTTTTAATTCAGTGTGTTTGAATGTGTTGATTTTTTTTAATTTGTGTGTTTTTGGGTGTTTCAAGTGAAGTTTTCAGCTAATACAAGGAAAGAAAATGCTCCAGACTTCGCCGGGGCAAAGAAGTATTCTTCGCCGCAATGAAGCACATTGCGTAAAAATAATTTTTGAAAAGTCCCAGACTTCGCTGTGATGAAGATTGTTCTTCGCCGAGGAGAAGTAACCTGAAAATATGGTGCAGCTACTGTAAGTTTTCGCCCCGGCAAAGCAGGTTGGACGAAATTCCTCTAAGGTAATTTCACTACGGCGAAGATTTTTTCTTCGCCGAGGCGATTAGCCACGGTAATGTTTCACCCCAGCGAAGTATTTTTCTTCGCCGCGGTGAGGTTCTATGAACGAAGAACTTCGCCACGGCGAAGCTCTGTTTTCTATAAATACTCACTTTGGTTTTTCATTTTTCACGCGACTTTTCAAATCCATTTGAGAGAAAAAATTTCCAATTTCAATCCTTTGCCTTCCAAGTGTTTTCCCAACCAAAGTTTTCACTCCTTAACCCTCCTAAACACCAAAACAACTCATTTCAACAACAAATTTTTCGAAAATTTCACGAAAATTTCAGGTGCTTCCAATCTGGGCTGATTCTAGGTAAATTGGTGGCGAATAATCCTCCGTATTAGCAAGATCTCAAGTTCCCTAAACTCATTTTTGCACAATTTCAAGTTTTAATTTGTAGATCTGAAAAATTGATTTTTGGTTGAGTTGCGAATTTTTAGGTGATTGTGAGTTCGATTTTGTTGAGGAAGGGTTGATTGTGCATATTGTGATATTGAGGAGTGTGGGTTTTGAGTTTTGGAGTGTTTTGTTGAATTTGGAGAAATCGTAGTTTAGGGGTCTGATTGCCAATTTTTGGAAGTGTTTTCAATTTTCTTTTTCAGGTTTGAATTGTTTGTTGAGGGGAACCTAGGCTTGAATTTTTGGGTTGCACTGTGAGTTGAATTATAGAAAATGGCACCCAAAGTTAAGGTTCCATACAAGGGCAAGGGAAAAGGAAAGAAAGTGGATAGCCGCTTTGTGAATGAAGAGGCCCAAAAACGGTATCAAGGGGCTATCCAAAGAAGAGATAAGGGCTTTATTCCTGAGTCCGGATTGACCACGAGTCAAGCTTTGGATTGGAGTCGAGGGAGACAATGGGAACTGTTTATGAGTGCTCCTACACAACCAGTTGTAGAGCCGCTGGTAAGGGAGTTTTATGCCAACCTCCCGGATTGTGAAGAGGGTACCGCATTTGTCAAAGGGGTTGATGTGCCGTTTACAGAAGATGTGATCAATGAGTTTTATAACCTGCCTAGGTTTATCAGGATGAGTACGCAAGGTTTAGGGTGTCACAATTTTAGGATAGTATCATTCTTCCGGTCATTGCAATACCAGATACAATTTGGGCAGTGTCGAAGAAACAAAAGAAGACCATTAAGGGAACTTATTTGACACCGATGGCTCGACTATGGTAGTATTTTGTTAGTGCGAGGTTGATGCCGGAAACGCACTATAGCACAGTAACTTACGAGAAGGCATTATTGCTTTATGCTATTGCCACAGGAAAGAGTATAAATATGGGACGAATTATCTTTAACAACATTCATCATGCCACCAAACCAGGGCGATCAAGTTACTCTTTCCCACATCTCATTACAGTTGTGCATTAGAGCTGGAGCCAAGGTGGATGATGATGAGCAACGTATTCATGCTGCCCCCATCCTCGATTCAGATTATTTTCAGAAGCATCTTGAACGTTCGAAAGCTGAGCAACCAAGAGTAGGAACAAAATGGCAGAGAACTACACAAGGCCCTGTCACATCCTCCAGCTCCACAGCTACACAGAAGGAGATGATACATCAGATGATGGGTATGATGAAACGTATGGAAAAACGTCAGGATTGGTTGGCTGAGCAGACCCAGATGATGTATGATATGCAGAAGAGTAGCTTCAACAAGCTCAACGTTGACAATTCAGGATTCCGATGGGCTGACTGGGATTTAGATGAGTGGATGGGCTCCGAATCGGAAGACGAAGAAGAGGAAGAAGAGGAAGACGAGGGAGGCAAAGAATGAGCACCGAAACACCTGTTCTGTTTTTCTTTATTTTTATTGGTTTTTAG